GATCGACGAATGGGACGAGACCTGGTTGAGCTGCACTAGAGATTGTTATCACTATGTTGGAGACACGCTAGCTTTCCTAAGGCAGACGAACTTCGAGTGATTACAATCATCCGGGTTTAAATCGCGCTCAAATTGATTTGATTTTGACGCAATATTTACACTGAAGCTGGCAGGCGACTATGGTAAGGGACATGACATTTCCTGACCAGGCGCCGAGTGTGACAATCACAGCACACACTAGCCCAGCTAACCAATCACAACACGCACTGGCCCAGCTAACCAATCACAACACATTTCGTATTTCAGAAGGCGGGCCTTCATTTGATACAGGAACTATTCGAGCCGTTCATGCCAGACTGAGGAGAGAGGTGTTGTAATAATGTAAAATATGTGAAAAATAAAGTGCTTTTCGAACAACCTAGTATGAGAGCCTGTTCTAGTGCACCCCCAAAACAAAATCAAGACTTTGTAAAAGAGCATAATAGGACCCCTTTAATAATAGAAAAAAAAATCGGACCCCAAACTTTTGAACGATATTGTACACTTGGACAGACAGATGGAAAAATGTAACTTGACCATTATAAATGCACATGTAAACAAACTTACTGCTAACAAACAATCTGTGTGTGATTGTGAGAACCAAAGAGAAATATGTGAATATGTGTGTAATTGGCATGTGTTTCGGCTCACCATATGGTACTGTGGATGAGATGGGGTCATGAGTGCAGGGATTGCTGCTGCTGACAGCCCACACCATGTATCCGCCATCACTATGGGAACTAACAAAGCTGTTCCCGGACCGTTCCCAGACCAAACTCTCCAGCTGCTACAAGAGTGACAGTCCCACACAATACACGGTGTCAAAAAAAGACCAAAGACGATGAAAGGAAGTCAAAAGGTTTGAATTAAACCATCTGGACATCTTAACATCAAGCACTGATGATTTAAAGATGGTTTTAAAACAGTTTTTATGAATCACGGACAGATCTCTTGACCTGATCACTTTGTCCACAGTGCAATTATCTGACATTTACAGAGACTTTAAAACACTGATGTCTACGTTTCGGTTTTAATTTAATGCCTTTCAACCACACAACCCCAAAAGAGTGTTGAAAGCCATTTGAGAGACATCAAACCAACTTGCACACAAACCCACCTGCTTTCCCAGGAAGAGGTTGACTACATGCCGACTGTTGAGGTCCCAGAGTACAACCAGACCTCTGCTGTAACCAATGAGGATTTTATCAGAGTCTTGCGGATGCTCCTGCAGGGACTCCACAGGCCCCAATGATTTTCCACACTTGTACTCCTCTGGAACGCTGAAAAGGGGAATAACCAGACACGTGAATAACATTACAAATAGCAAGCTTTTATTCGGCGTATTCTGAAGATTCAGAAAACCTACAGACAGATGACAAAACCAAGCACTACTCTGCACCAAGGAACATTTGGAAGATTTATTCTCTTTGTAGTGCCGCTCAACTGCACTTCTATTTGGTGAAAAACCCAAATCCGAGTACACGCTACTTAACTCCCCAAACACAGAGCGCTACTGAAGTACACATCAGAGGTTACAGAAAACCTTTACTGCAAAACTTCAGTCAGCACTTTTTTTTTCTTAACAGAATCAAACGCAGACTTGTGTGGAAAAGCATTTCGCATGGAAAAATGTGCAAGTCTCAGGGTTCAGTGAACGATGAATAAACCAAGCTCCAAGCTTTGAGAACAATGTATCGAACATTTGGTAACAATTACTCTTGATTCATGTTTGCAAAGTCTAACGGGGTGAACGGAAAGAAAACACAAAAGTTCAATAAACAACTCAAAAAAATTTAAAATCAGTGGTTTCAATGCAAAAGTAATACAGCAGAAGTTGACAACATTATCAAATGCTGACATGTTTAAATTCGGGTTGAAAGCCAGACAAATGATGACCAATCAAAAGCCACAGTCCGGGATTCCTCTGTGGCGGTGGCATAGATTCAAGAGCTGGAATGTGCATGGTACACCCACAGAGTCGGGATGAGATGCAGCCATGAAGGGAAAGAGGAAAAGAGGAAGGCGCATGGAAAAGAAGGACTGGAGTAGTCGTTTGGTGGCTTGGCTTCGGATGAGAACAGCCACAAAAAAAACAATTTCACACAAACAACTGAAGGGTTTTACAAGAAAATTTAAGAAACTGTTTATAAGTCAGTATATGATGATAACCAAATCATAAATTAGTATGGCAACATTGAAATGGCATTACAGCTCCCAAATATATATTCGGAATGTTGAACATTGTCGAAGTTAAAGGAAGCTCAAATCTTGCAATTTTAAAATTTTTATAAAAACTGAAGATGCGCAGAACAAGGCTATAAGATTCAAATTAAGTGTTTCCACACCTTTTTGACCAATAACTCTACGATTTTCAAATGATCTTTGCCTGATTTTTCCAGTTATTCGTGATTACTGGATAAGGATTTTATAGAGACTGAAATCACAGAGCAATTTCTGCAAAATTACAAATTACAATTACAAATCTGAGCATATTTAACAATTTATAATAAATAAAACAACCATCATCACCATACAATCATAATTAACATTTTTAAAGGTTAAATAATATTAAATAAATCAAATTAAATACTTTAAATGTTAAAATATTAAATAATCTTAATGTTAAATCTCAAAGATGACGACGATGACAACAACAACAATTATTATTTAAAAAAATAAATAATAAAAACGTAATATTCCCAGGTTTTTCATGACTGTAGGAACCCTTAATTGACATTAGAAGAATGATATTATAAAATAGTTTTCCAAACTAGTCTTCATTGAGGTTAGTAGAGGATGGCCACATCACAGTGGATGCATATTAGGTTTTATGCTAGCAAGCACACCATTTATAATTATAATAAGAAGTATTCTGAAGACATTAAAACTAATTTACACATCAATCTAGATGCCTCCATGTCTTAAAGAAAAACAAATCACAACAATATTTTTTTTTCTACTGAGCCACAGAGTATATTCTGGCATTCCAGATCCTGCTGATTCCCAAAGATGAGTGTGCAAAGCTCATATCCCCCATTTTAAATGACTCCTCGGCTGGGGCCCAAGAGATTTGGCACTTGGTACAAAAGCATTTTGTTCAGTAGTTTCCTGGCTGACACATACTTATTACCAGTGGCTCAGATAGGATGCCCATTACCCCAAATTGTGCTCAGTTAATGAGCAGTTCAAGGTCTCTCAGAAGCAGATGAAGTCCACATTTAGCCACCCAGGCTATATCTGCAAAAGGGCACACTGGGAAAGCTGTAATTTATCTCAGAGTTAAATAACGTCTTTAAAGAGTAAGATGAATTAGTTAGTGTGATTTCCTGCTTTGTAGCAGACATAATTACAGCCATTAGGAAAAACAGGTTTCTTTTTAACAAAAGGTGTATCAAATATTTATAAATATTCATACAATGACAAATGGACAGCAGCGGCTTAAAGATCTCAACAGATCACAGCGATCAAGGCCTTTTTGAAGTCCAAATGTCTAGCTGTGGCGGTGTGAAGTTAGTGCCTTGGCAGTGGGACAGGAAAGCTCAAGCTGCATATATCCTACTGACAGAGTAACAGACAGCCACAGCTGGGGGCAAAAAGGGGCAAAGAGCCTTGAGCGAATCAGGATGGTTGATTCGTTCCTAATTCAAAGTGCATGAGAGAAGTGTGACAAAAGCAGCTCAGATAGGGCCAAAGGAGGGAAAGAAAATAAACAAGAGGTCTTGCTGCAGCTTCAATAACCTTATAAACAGATGGGGTGGGAGTCCGTAAAAGCTTATTTTATGAGGTAAGTGCTGTGGAATCTGTCTGCTCAGCCATCTTTATTAGAGTCCAGTGTAGACGTCCAGAGTCACAGAGGCTTTAAAAAGAAATAAAAAATCCTCACTTTCCACTGAGACATTCAGATAATCCTTTTCAGAGTTGTTGAAGACAGGTTAAGCATTATACTAGAGCAGTGGTTCTCAACCTTTTTTTCCACTGGGCCGCACTATGGTCCAAAGTGCAAGTCTCGCGGGCCGCACGCGTATCATTTACATATTATGTCACCAATACAAACCAACCAGATTTATAATAGCCTAAATATTATGATATCTAATCGATTACATTCATTGAAATAAATTATACTCACCATTAATAAAACACCTGATGCTGTCGGGAGCGGACCAATTTTGTGAAATTCGGCTGGAAAGGAGTAACAGCACAATGAACTTGCCATTGTAAGTTGCAGTCTGTAAGACGCGCACGGAAGCGTGACTTGACGCGCGACATTGCAGAAAATGTGCGTTCACAAATGTAGCCTATGTTGATCCAAATTTAAAGGTCCCATATTGTACACCTTTCTGGAGTTTTATTTTAGGTTTTGATGTCCTTAAGAATATATATTTGCGGTATAAGTACCAAAAACCATCTCAATATATTTTTACAGCTCCTTCGATTTTGGCATGTCTAATTAATATTCATGAGCCTCTCTTCTGATTGGCCTGTTGTTTTCTGAGTCACTGCGCTAGCTGGAGACAGCAAAACAAAGTGGAAACTGGAGGCGACCCATTCAAACCAGTGCAGATTCGGCTACATAAGGAGCTTAAAATATCATCTTGTGATGTTGGGTGCCAGAATCTACATAATACAGCCTCAAATTAGAAATTTGATCGCATATCTGCTGCCACTGCCAGACAAAAAACCGATGACAGCTGTGGTTAAACGCGATAAAACGAGCAGACTGGACAGAAACAATCGTCAAAAATGCTTGCGTTTGCAGCGCACACTTCTTATCAGAAAAGGTTCAATAAAGTTTTGTCTTTTGTTGTTATGGGCGCGTCTACAGATTTCTTGCCATATGTCTATGTTTCTTGCATCTCACGACTATGTCGTATGAAATAATGTCTGTGTGCATGTGTGTAAAACAACAAACTGACGATTTATATATAATCATTTGTAATTGTATATACATTGTTGTGATTAATTGTGGCTGGAACAATAATGTAGCTGTAAAAATAGTTGCCTGCTGAAATTGAAATGTATATACATCTTCATCATGACTAGATACACGGTGAGTTTGTCTTTACTGTACACGTTAGATGTGATCCACCTCATAGTAACAATCCTGTCAGATCGTCCATCCTTTGAGTGAGAGTGTAACGTTACAGGTCGGCCGATCTGGTTTCATGGTTAAAGTTAAATGTTAAAGTGATGTTGTCTGGGGGTTTGGCAAAAGGAGGGTGGGCGGTGCTCGGGGTGGTGACTGAAGGCGGGGACTGAGTAGTTCTGACGTCAACTTTTTACGGAAGTCACAACGGTTCGTGAAAAATCACAGCTACTTTATGCAGGCTGTGTGCATTTGACTGTGGACTGACTGTTTTGAAACTTATATGGTCGTTACATAGCACCTAGACCTCAGTTATCATGGAAAAAGCCCGGAAATTTCAGTTTTGACAATATGGGACCTTTAATAATCTGAGGTTCTCTCCAGAGAGGTTTTGCCACATTTCTGCAATTAAGGATGATTGCTGCATAGTATGGGTGTTTCCTTTTTGCCTGAACTAGAGCACTGCGTCTCAGCCCAGGCCCGACGGGCCCTGACTTTTTTATGCCCCTCGGGCTGGGCTCCGGGACAATTTTCACATCATAGTTCAGACACGGGCCGGTCATGGGGCTTGTTTTAGGCTTCTCCTATTTTTATATTTTAGACATCCATCAATTAGTGATGAAAAAAATAATAATAATTTGCCGCGCTGCTGGAAACAACACGAGACCGTGCTGCCGGGACTGTCAGTGTCTGACTGTTAGTGTCCAGCAGCAGCAGCAGCAGCATGTATGGTGCGTGCCGTCAGAGCAGCTGAACAGTTCTGCGTTCAAATGCACGCAATAGGCTAAAGCTTGCCGCAAAGCACCGGCACAAGTAATTACCATGAATGTGTCAGGGGGGAAATAGTAAGGAGATATTTTGAATTATTTACTAATAAATGTGTCTTTTCTGAGTCGGTGTCGCAAGGATGAAGTTGTCAGGTCTGCTCATGTCTGACTCGCCATCTCCTCAGACGCGCCTTTAGAGAGAAGTACATTTTTATGGATAATGATTATAATGAAAGTTTTTGTTTTTGATTTGTTTTATTTCGTTAATTAGTCATTTAAAGCTTTCTATAGATACAGTGGGTACGGAAAGTATTCAGACCCCCTTAAATTTTTCACTCTTTGTTATATTGCAGCCATTTGCTAAAATCATTTAAGTAAATTTTTTTAACTTTTTTAACGAAAACCTTCTCCAGAGTGCTCAGGACCTCAGACTGGGCCGAAGGTTTACCTTCCAACAAGACAATGACCCTAAGCACACAGCTAAAATAACGAAGGAGTGGCTTCACAACAACTCTGTGACTGTTCTTGAATGGCCCAGCCAGAGCCCTGACTTAAACCCAATTGAGCATCTCTGGAGAGACCTAAAAATGGCTGTCCACCAACGTTTACCATCCAACCTGACAGAACTGGAGAGGATCTGCAAGGAGGGATGGCAGAGGATCCCCAAATCCAGGTGTGAACAACTTGTTGCATCTTTCCCAAAAAGACTCATGGCTGTATTAGATCAAAAGGGTGCTTCTACTAAATACTGAGCAAAGGGTCTGAATACTTAGGACCATGTGATATTTCAGTTTTTCTTTAATAAATCTGCAAAAATGTCAACAATTCTGTGTTTTTCTGTCAATATGGGGTGCTGTGTGTACATTAATGAGGAAAAAAATGAACTAAAATTATTTTAGCAAATGGCTGCAATATAACAGAGTGAAAAATTTAAGGGGGTCTGAATACTTTCCGTACCCACTGTATATTTATCATGTCTGTGAGGCATGTATTTGCTGAGTTTCGGTTCATTTTTCGAGACATTCAAGACGCGACGGCAGAAAGCGAATCACATTTGTTTTCTTTATTTTATAAAAGCACAACGTTTTGTTGATATCGTGAGTGCACACAAATAAAAGTAGACCCTTTACAGTTACGAATGATGTATTACTCTTACCTTTAGGAGCAAAAATGACGACGTATTCACTGGAAAAAATGCAAGTGATCACGCTGGCGCCTCTAAGACAGGCTCGGGCCGGTAATTCTGATAAGCTGTCAGACAAGGGCGGGGCTAGGGCCTGAACGTCATATATTTGAGGCCTGTGCAGGGCTTGAAGCCTGAACATCTTCAAGTGAGTGGCGGGGGAAACAGAAAGTTGATGCCGAAAGTCCAGCACTCTCATACCTTCACTGCTGCGACTACTCTTGTTTGTGTGAGTTCCTTCGCTGGCATTTTCCACATTTCGTTTTTCTCCCTTAATAACAAA